ATCGAACGAGTTTGGAGAGAAGTTGATTTCTGGCCTCTCCTTCGAGTCCACAAATCGTGCACACATGTCGGCAACTACACTACACGGTTCAAGTAACCAGCATGATTTTCATGTGTGTGCGAGGGAATCTCGTAAAAGGGCGTACGAGGGGGGACGGATTTCTTGGCGTGAAGCAACGAGGGTATAGTTTTCGATAGACAAATACCTTTACGCTAAGTGCCTTCAGTGCGAGGGGGACCCCGAATCGTGTTCACCCCCACACCACGATACGAACGATCGAGCGAGCGAACGAGAGAGAGAAAGAGAGAGGGATGAAGCCTGATTCTCTCGAGTAGGGGAAAGGGCCGCGACACGCGGGGCCGAAGGGGAAAATATTTTTATTAAAAGGGGCGCGTGGAACGGGAAGGGAAGAGGGGAGGGGAAAAATATCATGGCGGTCCCCGGCTGCATTAAGCCATATTTCCGTTCCTGCCATCGACGCACGCAAACCGGGAATTAATTGCATTATCTTGTATATTACAGACTTTGTGAGAGGCGCAATCTCGTCATAGGACGCATCGAAAATATTGGGATACTTGAATTGTATTTATTTAACGGACGGAATCTTTATATTATTTTGACAATGAAGAGACCTTTTTCAGATATACACAAGTGAAACCTTTCGTAGAAGGGAATGGTAAATCTCTTCAACGATTAATGATCTCTTTTCCCCCTTTTTGTTCAGAGTCAATCCATTTAGAATGGTTTTCGCTGCCAATCACCTCTATTTAGCTCGCGGATTTTATTGTAATTTCTAGGACACGGCAATCCCGGAGTTTATTGAATCCATTAACGGCGCCCACCGTCGTGTTTGTACTTGTGCGTGTAACGCGAAGTACGATCGCCAAGGTCGGGTGGACCACGTCAATGCGTGAAGCGCACGATGCGTGCATGGATAAGAGAATCGACGTCACTGACCGTGGATGCACGCGAGACACTCGCGACAATTTCGCGCGTGACGTCGCGTTTCGGCCCTTCGACTCGAAAAGAGCTCGCGTTGCCTTGAATCCGGTTTTTGAAACCTCGCGGATTGTATCCGCGATCGCAGGGATGTTAAACCGTCGAACACTTCTAAGATAAAACGAAGAACGTTACCCCCGCGTCGAGTCTCTGCCAAGAGAAAAAAAACCAG